TTCGTAAAGGGCGGTAGGAACGGCAAATTGATAGCTTTTACCATCAACTGTCCTCGTAGCAGATCGAACTATTTTATCTCGGCAAATTCTGTTACGACTTTCTCTCCAAAGATTTTTTATTGCTTTAGCCCATCTAGAGCAAGAAGAATTTTGGGCCTTTCTCACCTGAAAAGAATAACGTTTCAAAAGCCTTCCATTAAGTTTGTTGTAAGGCGTCGAATCCCTTGGATGGAATATAAAGTTGGCATACAATGCGGGGGAGGCACAAAACACCAAGACAGGGATTTGGGAAATAGTGTTAGGTGCTGCAACACATTGTGGTGAATCGCTGCCCTTGAACACTCTGAATTATGCAACATTGGGGACATTAACATTACGACAATTTTGTCATGCTCTATGTTCAGCACAATTCGCGCTTTTTTCTCTTCTTGACCGTGTGACAATGCGGTTATGTCAATGGCTCCTCCAAACCTCTACAAGCATAACTGAACGCTTCTTCACGTTATAAGTGCCAGGTGCATTGTAATGGCAGAGACAAAAGAGTGAATAAGTGGAGTGCTGACAACGAAGCCAAATACAGGATGTACGCTGCGTTCTTTACTCTGATTTGGTTCTACACCCCACTTGTGGCATAATCATCCTATATTGCTGCTTTGTAATTTCTCCTTTTTAATTAAAGTACCCACTGCATTGTAAAAAATGACTTAGAGAGAGGAAGGAAGAAGCGGAATAGAGCAAAAGAAATGGGGGGACGAGAACGAGTTCCCTCCAAACACACATATCTTCTCCGACCAGGCATTCGCTCGTATAATTCACCCCTGCTTTACCTATCATCAAACCGAATAGTCACAGCCATTTGATAAAGACTACAAAATGTGCGAAAAAAGCATTTCCAGACAGAGTCACATTAGCAATTGCTTACACGCAGACAGACTCGTAAGTTTGTCGCCATTGCGCTCCCGTTTACCGCCAGCTTCAATGTCGGCAACATTTTATCCCTCTAGACAGAAAATCAGTCTATCTGTAGGAAACCCACGAAAAAGTAGGAGTACGCAAGGTGGTTTGGATGGATTTCTAGGGTTTGGAGTGTAAAGGAAGGGGAATACCTGAAAGTATTTGGGTTACACTATTGGCTGTATCACCGGCCAATGTAGCAATGACTACAGAGCAAAGCTTGAGAATTTAACTCGGAATTCCTTTAGAATTAATTTTATTTTAAAAAGTCGAGGCAAGGAAGGCAGAAGACTACATTTCTTTGTTTATTTTGCACGTAGTCTTCTTATAGCTCTACGTCAAGAGAGGCTAAGAAGCATTACCTCGAAAAAA